TATTTTCAAATAAATAAATAAATAAATAAATAAATAATTCCCAAATCAATTACCATTGATAAAAGTAAATTAAAAACATTAAATGATTTTCAAAAATTGTTAGGTGATATTAATCGGGTCCGTCCTGCTTTAAACATTGTTACTGACAATTTAACAAATTTATTTAATACTCTTGAAGGGGATCCAGAATTAAGAGTTACAATTGGTAGGACAAGCTTTTAAAAATAAAATGCTAACAAGATTTGATCCAGAATTGGCTTTAGGGCTCATGATCCTTCCCACTAAATTATATCCTACTGCAGTTTTGATTCAAGATCAAGGAATTTTAGAATGGATACATTCTAAACATAAATATTCTTCTTCTATTAGTTCATGTTAGTATAATTGGTAAATTAATTTTAGGAGAAAGAACCAAAAACAAACAAATGTTAGGTAAAGAACCAGATAATGTTATTTTACCATTTACCAAAGAACAATTTGAGGAAACAATGAAAACAGATACGTTATAATTAGCATTAGCAGACTATTTTGGAAATGTAATGTTTCATTACCCTAAAAGAAAAATGTGGAATTCTCTTAACATGACAGAATGGGTTATTAATAAAATCATTGTTACCGAACCCCTTACAAAACCAGAAACTTATTTTATAGATGGCACCAAGGAAAAACAGGCTGCTATATGGTCACCCAAAGAACAAAAGGCTATATTAACCCCATATCATATGGCACAACAAAATGAATTATTTGCTCTCTTAGCTCTGTTGCAATGGAATCCTGATATAGCTATTAATATTGTTGCAGATCCAATGTATGTGGTTAATTTGATTAAACAATTAGAAACTGCTGTTATATGCACCTCTTTATCCATAATACAATTCCCAACTAAAGAAATCCAAGCCTTGATCAGAAAAAGACAACAGGCTATCTATATTACTCATATAAGGGCTCATTCCAATTTGCCTGGACCTTTAACTTTGGGCAATGATCAAGCAGATAGATTGACATGTCCTAACAAAAATTTAATTTATTTCAACAATGCTCAACAAAAACATGATACTTTACATACTAATGCAGGAAGACTACATCAAAGATATAAAATTCCATATTCCCAAGCCCATAAAATTATTAGATCATGTCCAATTTGTTATCCACTACACTTAAAACAAGGGCCAATGGGAATTAATCCAAGAGGTTTAAAACCAGATCAAATTTGACAGATGGATGTTACTCATTATCCTCCATTTGGCAAATTCTGTTATTTACATGTATGCATTGATACTTATTCCAAATTCATATAGGCCTCTGCTCATATAGGATAATCAACTAAACATGTTATTGTTCATTTATTAAAATGTTTTGCTATAATGGGAGTTCCTGGATCTATAAAAACATATAATGGACCTGTGTATACTAGTTTAAAATTTAAGAAATTTTTACAAGAATATCATATTAAACATGTTACTGACATTCCTGATAATCCTCAGGGACAGACACTTATAGAACGAGCTCATCATATGTTAAAATTACAATTAAATAAAATAAAAAAGGAGGAATATGGGGAAAATGAATATGGGGAAAAGGAAATTGATATTTTAGGTGAAGGACAAAATGTAACCTATAAGAAATTTATGAAACAATTAATACAAACACCACATCAACTTTTACATATTACTTTATTTACATTAAATTTTTAAAATTTGCCACAAGGAGACATTGAATCTCAGGTTGAAAAACATTTTAAAGAAACTGACTCAGAATCACCTCAACCAGTCTGGGTAAAATTAGATCATGATAATTGAACACCAGGACAAATGTTTGCAAAGAGGAAGGGATATGCTTGTGTTTCCACAGATGGCAGAGCGACCCAGGTCTGGCTTCCTGAATGAAAAATTGGATTCCGGAGTCAAGACAATGGCCTGGACGGTGGGTCTACAGGAACAAGTAGTGCTTAAATGACCTTTAAGCACTATTCCAGAAAGATCGGAAGAAGAGGTTGTTCAAAAAATTAGAAAGCTCTCTCTTAAACCAAAGAGAAAAAGAAAAAAAAAGTCTCATGCTACATACCATTCCCAACTTCCTGATTGGGATATGTTAACTAACCTGATAACAAAGGCTCGAGACTACATGTCATCTATGGGCTGGCCCAGCCCCCCGAGCCTAGATGCTCAGTACTTTTCTTCCTGACTATGATATCTCTATTAAATTCATCCACTGCTCAGGTAGGTGTAAGTATGTCAGACTGTGACTATTTAGCTCCTCAAAATGGTACTAGTACTATTATAATTAAAGATTGGATAAATGTAAAACCTATAATATATATTCATGATTCCTTTCGGACTCTCCCTCTCTATTCTAACAAAATGTTCTTAGATTCAAACAAAAACTTTTACAAAGTCCAAGAGGTAAAAAGGAAAACTGATAGATTACTTTTGTTGGGAATAATAATGTTTGCTATATTGACCCGTAATTCAGCATTCATTATGATCATTATTTTTAAGTCATTGTTTTCTGGAACATTGGCAATATTACCCCAAAAACAATTATACCTTGCTGGTAATGTTTGGATTCAGCTGACACAATCACTTAATTTGTCTGAGTTCTGTTTAAATGCAGATATAAATTTACATTATGTATTAGGGAGTTGTCTCATCCCAGTGTGCACTCCTTTGAGTCTGATACAACCTTATACCCTGTTTAAAGATATCCCAGAAAAAAACCTTACATATAAAGATGGTTACAATTGGGGGATTCCCTCTTATTTTAAACCAAAAAATGCTATTAAGCTATATACACCTCAGATGGTTATGTTAAACAATACACAATGTGCTATACATAAAAATTGTGCTACAAAATGTCTAAGATTAAAAAAGTTTAAAAAGATAACCTGTTATGAGGAACAAGAAATCATATATAATGATAGTCATATACCTTTACCATCAGGATGGTTTTATACATGTGAAGCAGTAACATTTAATTATATCCCTGCCTACTTGTCTGAGACTCAGTGCTGCCTAAGTCGCTTGGCCATAATATTGCCAGATCGAACTGATTTGAGAGGAACCAAAAAAATTAAACGTTGGTCACCCTATACTGACCCAGGATGTGATGATGATGTAGGTCTATTGACAGATGCTCAAGTGATACCTATGATAGCATCTGTGCTTGCTCAGCCTGCCATAGGAATTCATGCAGGAAAGGCAGTACGAAAATTGGCATACAAGGTGGTCAAAGGTTTAAATGCTACCTCATCTGCCTTGACATTAATTAATCAGGAGTTACAAGAACACCGATAGGCTATACTAGACAATAGGGCAGCAATAGATTACTTGCTCTTGTTCCATCATCAAGGATGTGAAAAAATAAAAAATACGTGCTGTTTTAATATGACTGACAATAGCCCAGGGATTCAGAAAAAAATAAAACAATTAGAAGAATTGACAGAAAAAATACATAATGAAAAATTAGGATGGTATTTGTTTCAATGGTTAACTCAATGGTTGCCTAATATGTAATGGTTAAAACAGCTTTTTCTTGTAGTCATAATTGTTATCATATGTTTGTTTCTATCGTATTGTGGCATACAATGCCTACCTTACTGTGTGGGATTGTGCCCCCCCCAAAAAAATTACTTATATGCTAAAACAAAAACAGAAACCATCTCTGTTCCCTTTATACAATGATCGATAAATTTAAAGATGATTTTTTTAATATTATTTCCTCTTTTACTATATTTCTTCCTGTTTTATAAAGTTATAGAAGGACCAAACGTCAAATTGAGCCGACGTAAGATGTCTCCCTTCCTGGCCTGTCAAGATCTCGTCTCTTGATCTCCTCGATGTTATAATAAAAAATTTAGCCTAAATAAAATTAAAAAGAGGGAATTGTGGGAAATTGTAGAATTCAGCTATCTAGTTGTAAGAATAGATCACAAAAATTTGTTAACTAAGAAAATTAAGTCGTTTCTGGGAAATTCCACAAGTCTGTTTGTTAAAAGAATGCCAGAAAACTTTAAGAGACATTCTAAAAGTCTCACAAGAGAAAACCAGGTTTTCCTAGTTTTGTTATTTACCATTGCCCGGGATCAGAGGACTGCGATCCAATGACTCTACCGGTGGTAAGAGAGCTAGGACTCACTATGCACATCTGTGATGTTTGTGGTGGGCCTGTGGGCTTGATTTTGGCTAAAATCGTCCTGCTGTCTTGATACTACCTGATAAGAACAGGGCTGTGGTGTGCTCTTTGATGTACGGGATTGGTGAACGGAAACAGGGGACTTGTGAATTCTCCTGTAGTTTTTATGAGTCACTTAAAGACATTTGTTACCAGAGGTTAAAAAGACGATAGCCAGAATAACTATGCTGCTTTCCTACATGTATAAAAGCCTTGCTTCTTCCCTTTGTGATTGTCGAATAGTGCCAGAGGAATTAAACTGCTGCTCCTCCCCCAGACTCCTTTTCTCTCTTTAAAAGTCGGTGCTTTCTGGGGTTCCAGGTCTCCCTCTAGAGAGACCACCAAGAATATAAACATACAAGTTTCTATTTCAATAAAATAAAATACAGTTATACTTTTCAATTTTAAATGTAGAATATTGGATTTAGTCCTTAATTTGCAGGGGTATGAAGGCCATTTTTTCAAAGTTGTAAAGACACAGTCTCTTTCCACATAATAATGATATCAGATGCTATACACTTGAATTTCAACTAATATTGCTATTTTTATATTAAAATGCTACTCTTATTTTACCTATATTTATATATTTTCTCCCCAATTTGTATTTTGCAGTTAACAAACGTTGTTTTATTTTAACTGCAAGTGCAAGTGATGCCGACTTCCACTTTGTGAGATGAAAGCAGGTGACACAGTCACATTTTCTGGAAAGTAAATCAGGAAATGCACCTGAATATTAAGGAAAAGAGGTGGTTCTGTATTCAAGGGCAAAATATTCACAGGAAAACTGAACTTTATTTGTTATGTTTATGCATTTCAATGACATAAATTTGCCATGATGTGCCAATGTTTAATTTTTATGTGTTGTTGACATTGTATTAGAACACTTTATTTTTATACAATTTATATTTTGCAACTGACATGTTTTAAAAACAGGATTTTGTAACAATGCACAAAATAGACTCAGGAACTAATCAAATTTCATTTTGTTTTTTCACTAAAATTTCTATTCAAAAGGAATAACAATATCTTTGATCATGCAAGTCATGTCTAATGCAGAGCTCTTAACTGTGGTCTCCTGGGGTTTATATGCATCATATTTAAAGTAAATGAATCAGCTATTACCTCAACCACAAATAAATAAAACCTGCTGAATATTTTTCTCATTTTTTCCTTACCTTTATACGTATCTTTCATTTCACTTTTATCATTCAGTGGCATATGTGGCACAGGTAAAAGAGAAATTCAAAATTAAATATAAAAGAAAAGGTGTTGAAAAGAATGAGAATTTGATTTTATTATATCACTGAATTAGAATTAGGAAACAAAGTACTTTTTTTCCATTTAGAAATATAACAATAGTGTGATTACATAGACTTTCAAATGACAATTTTGTTTTTCCTCCTAAACATTATAAGGAAATGTGGTTTATTGTCAATGAAGCCACAGAAATATCCTTAATTTGGAAGAAAACTTAAAATAATTTGTTTAATAGGAGACTCAGTGAGTTGCCAGTGTTAGAGAGGGAGGACAGGGGCAGAGATGTGAAGTTTATAGGTAAGAGAATGATGAAAAGACTGCCTCACTGATCACTCCAGCTCTTCCTAATAAAAAATTATTTATGCACATGTATATGATTTATTGTATTTTGTTTCTTTCATATTAAGAATGTTTTTATTCATGTAAACAATGAAATATCTACTTGCTTCTCATCCAAAAAGTTTTCAGAAATAACTTTTAGCACTAATATCAGGTTGGGCCTAAAATGTCCTGAACTTTACAAACAGAATTATTTGGCCAACTCTATTTTACTACTCACCATTGATCAAATTCCTTAGTTCTAATTCCCTTTTCATAAATCTGAACTTTTGTTCATGTGTACACTAAAGGAGTTCTTTTGCTTAGGCTGAACTTTTATCTTTTTTAATTTAAAAATTTTACCAGTACATCTTTGCAGTGCATAAAGGAATATTTATTTATTTCATGAAAGTAATGGCTCTGGTATAATGTCTGTGCCCTTGAATACACTAAAGTGTTTTCTCATAGCATTTTTCTGTGGTATCTTGAATTATTTGAGAATTATTGGATTTAATCTTGCTCAATTAAGATTTTGCTTTGCAAGGCACAGGATGTTTCAGTAAGAAAAATTTGAGCAGATCAGAAGAAAAAAAAAAACTCCCTTAAAAACCAAGCTAAGTGAAAAAAAGTCTATATTGTGTACTATCATAAGGAAACTGTGTCTATGTACAATGCTCTCTATCTGGCATCGTCAGGATTGAACAAAATCTGGCTTCTATACTTCAGGGAGATTCACCTAGGTCCCAAGAGGAAAAAGACAAAACAAAGTGAAAAGTCAGTTGTATGAAGTTTCATGGTATAAAGATTTGTACCACTAAATCACTTCTCTGAATTTTGACATCTGTTTGAAAAACTAAGGGTCATCTGTTTCTATAACAAAAAGGAGGATCTATTTTTTCCCCATTCCTCTGCCCTCCATTCAAACCCTCTGACTCTCCCTATTTACAATGACTCTGTTTCTGTTCTTTACCTTTTCTCATATTTTTCCTTTCCCTTCCTTCCTTTCCTCTACTGCCCTACTTCCCCTACACTTTCTCCTTTGAATATTTTCTTCCTATTTCACATTATCTACGATACATTTTGGTCCTCATTTACATTTTCAGTTTCTCACACCAGAGAAACTATTTGGTATTTACACGTGTGTGTCCTATTTATTTCACTTACAAGTATGGCCTCAATGTGCATCCATTTAGCTATAAATGACTCTAGTTTCTCATTCTTTATGGCTGAGTAGTACTTCATTTATTTCTCAATGATGAGTGTCATCATATTGTATACATAAAATGTGGTAATAATTTTTCAATTTATGAAAAAAGCTGATGTAGAAAATTATAATTTATATGATTTCTCCTGAGTATATTTTAATATGCTGACTAAAATGGTGAGGTATAAGTAAATGAACAAATGGTTAATATTATAATGGAAGATTAGGAAGTTAACACACCAAGTATGAGTTCTGTTAATAGTAGGCTTGTACTTTGAGGGAAGTGTTTATTTAAAAAATAATTCAATAATTGCAAGTTATCTACTTCTCCATTCCCAAAAACTAGATTTAAAGTAAATAAATGGTGAGGTTCTTATATACATACACAGGAAAGTGGGTTTTACCTGTAAGTGACTATAAAAATCATATATCAAGGGCCAGGGATTTAGCTCAGTGGTTCCAGTGCCTGCCTCACAAGCGCAAAGTCCAGAGTTCAATCCCCGGTAACAACAACAACAAAAAAATCATATATCAATATACTGGATAAATTGAAAGTTGTAGGCTCATTTTTGCAACTGAATCTAATTTTTAATTTTCTAGACTATTAAATACAACCTGAGATGGGGAAAGAGAATATCAACTAAACAAGTTGTCTGAGTTGAATTTTTTCTAATTACATAGCTTTGGTAAGTGTTCACATGCTCTAATGCAAGATTTTCTTATTAAAACCAATGATCATAGAGTACTGAGGGATTAATAAATTTACCATTTATTGAAAATGTTATGACCTATCATCTGTATGTCACTTAATACTATGAGGCAGACATTAAATAACTGAATAGAATAAAAATATTGAACAATTCTAGTTTATTTTAAAAAATAAGTAAATAAGAGTTAATTTATTTGAATTACCAATAACATTGGAAAAATGTGTATATCTGGTACTTAGGTGAAATTTTGTGAAACTTATGTACATGCAATTCATAATTTATTTTGCTAACTGAAATCTCAAGTTGCCTACATGTATATTCATTAGTCAGTTGTAAATTTTTAGTTTATATTTCAAAAAAGAATAATATGCATAATGTAGGGGAAAAAAAGGCATTCAGCTCCTGTAATGCACTCCAGAGTCCAAACGTAATTGCCTTATGGACATTATGATAAATTTAGTTTAGAAAGTTCAAATAAACATCTGTTATCTCCACTCACAAATGTGTTCAACCATTCATGCTTCAAATGCCTATCATATTTTAGATGAGGATAATTTATAGCACAATTATAGTCTGTCTTGGTGTGCTTAAATGTGACACTGAGAAAAAGGCTTACAATACACTAAAGTTTGTAAGAAAAGAATTTAATGTGATAAAGAAAAAATTAATAATATAAACTTTTAGTTTTATTATAGCAAAATGTGCCTATTTTTTATAATTAGGCTACAACCTCTTGTGAGATAAACTTGAAGTAATATTTTGATGAATATATTCACAACAGTGAAAAGAATGTAAAATGTGTCAATGGTACATTAACATTTTGAAAAAGTTGGAAGAATTGGAACTGGAGAAAGTTACTAATTATCCTCACTGGTAGAGAAATATATGACAGATTGACCAGCTATGACCTAAAGACAATGCAGACCGTAGTCAGATTCCCCTAAAGACACCAGTTTCCATTGTCTTGATAGGATAATACAATTCCTTCTACCTTAATTTTCACACACAAAAATAAAAAATAACCAGAAGTAACCTGATGTTAACCAAACAGTTATTTTTCTGTTGTTCAGTCTCCCTATCCACATCTAATAAGGGAAGTGACTTTGAAATGACCAACACACTTTTTTTTTTAATCTCTGCTTTTTTGCAGTTTTGCCAGTCCATAAAAATAACTTTGTTCAACCCTTCCTGACATTTCTTCTATGGCATAAAAAATAAAGCCAAATAAGATCTTTAAACTAAATTGTTATAATTTTGTCCTTTGAAACTACATTTTTGCGCATTTGGTATTTTACTTATTTTGTCTTGTCCTATTTGATTTAACTCCAAGGACAAAAATTTGTTTGCATTTCTGACTTAACTCCTGGACACCTAAACACGAAGAAAATGCAGCAAATCCCTTCTCTTACTGCATTTATGTTTTATAGAAAAACCAGTAAGATAGCTCTCATTACTCCTATTTCACCCAACAGGAAACTGTATTTTCCAATTGGCTCAGACACTTCTGTAACCCAGCTGTCAGCCAAGTTATATTTTCTTTTGAGCTTCAAATAAAAACTCCTGCATTCTTGTGTCATGTTCAATAATAGAGAGGCAGGTGCAGACTTTTCAAATTCACATCTGGCTATGTGCTTCTGCTGCTGTTGCATTTGTTAGTGAATCACTCACATCACTAATCTTTGATTTCTCTGCAGAATCTAGATAAGAATGATCTCAACACAGATATAGTTTTTAGCCATTTCTATAATATACACTAAAAAATCAAATAATGGAAGTTTTCCAAACAAAAAATGTAAAAAAGTACAAAAAAGGTCAAAATAATGCAAACAACACAAATTGCATAATAAGAAAAATACAGTTAATATTCACCTATTTCTGCAATATGAGCTTTTATCTCTTCTCCTCTTCTTTCATTCACTTCCTCTCTCTCCAGCCTTCTCATTTATAGATAGGTCCTATATGCTATTTTAGCTATTTATTTACTATACCATGCCAAGCCATTCCTCCACATTTTATTTCTATGAAATTATTAGGTGTCTTAAAATAGTTGTCTATTAATGTGATATCTCTTAATTTTCTTCAAAAGCCATTATTGAAATACTTTTTCTCAAAATTAATAAAAGAAAGTTAAATTTTTTTCATTCACTTGGTAAGCAAATATATAAAAGAAATTCTTATATATTGTAAAGTTGCAATAAAATAAAGTAATAAAGCAAACCCAATACATGCATCTTCAGTTACTTAGTGTGGTCTCCCCAAAAAACAATATATTTAACTTCCTGAATCTCACATAATCTGTATCAAAAATAAGTAAAGACCATGCCCCATTCCACTGTAATACAGGATACTTTAGGATAAACTACTATTTTAAAATAAATGTAAGCATGTATCTTCATTAATTTTGAGGAACTCAAAGAAATAAAAGAGAAAAAAAATTGGAAAATGCTTATTTAGAGAGTTGAAGGCTGACAGATCTTAATGAGAAAGCCCATATTCAAAACAAAGTTCTTCCTGGGAATGATTCAAGATTTGTGTGTTATAAAAGTGCATCCTTATGAACTAGATTCTTAATGTAAAATTTCATTTTGCCCAAAACTTGTTAAGATGTAAAAGAAGGGAAACAAAAAATAAAAGTTCACTGGATGACCAAAAGAATACACAAAGCCATTAAATGCCAGGGATCTGTGTGGTATTCTGTTGGTAGAGTGACAAACTTGATTGAAGAATGTATTATTCAGCCTTAAATCAGCAGCAAATATTACCATACCATACCATATAGATGAATCTGGAGTACATTATGCTCAGTAAAATAAGCCAAACACAGAAAGACAAACACTGCATGATACCATTTATATAATAAATCTAGAACAATCCAAACCAGAGAAGCAGAGTGTAACCATAGCTGCCCTTGGCTGAGGGGATAGGGTAGCAAGGTAGTATTTACTCAAAGGGTGCAAATATACAAATGACAAGACATTACAGAAAAAAAAGACTGATGTATAAGATTATGTATAATGCCCACAGTTGACAAAACTACATGGTTCACATAAATGGGTAGATCTTATATTAAATGTTCTTATAAAATACTACTACTACAAATAATAATATTAATAAATAAAATAGGAAGAAACTTTGAAGATGATGAATAAGGTTATAGCATGAATTGTGGCATTAATTTTACAGGTACTTATTTATCTTCAAATTCATTGTTTAATATATTAAATGTATGCAGCTTTATGTTTGTTGATGAATTTCAATAATGAACTTAAAGCAAAGACAATATAGCTCAGAAAGAATGTTTTCAGAGAAAATTATTTGTCCCAATAGTTGCAAAAGACTTGGCAAGAAAAGCCACTTTATGGCTTTCTAACATTCCTAATTTTTTTTACTTGTCGAAGAAGCTGAATATTTGAACAAAGAATTTATAAAAGTCAATACAGTATATATATAATATTATTTCTAAGACCCCACAAAGAATGCCCAGTTTAAGAAAAAGAAAGCACAGGCCAGTGACACTTCTGGAAATATAGTGTAACTATAGTGATGAGTATTATGAAATGAAAATAGCCAAGGTCATCTCTTTTACTAATGGAGGAAAATACAGCAAGCAAAAGATAAACAGTGGTTTAGAAAAGGTAGTGATATCTTGTTTCTCCCTATTTCTTTCCATTAATTTACAGCTATACTTCATAAATAACAGAAGGAAACCAAAGGAGAAAAAACAAGGGAGGAAGGTAAACCAGTTTTAGACATCAAGATTGGATTAACGACAAAGCAGCAGTACATCTTGCATCTTCCTACCAAACAACAGAAAGTGTTCCACTCCTAGAGTTACCCTCCCCCACCTAACAACAGATCATTTTTTGCCTGAACAAAAAGGTTTTCCAATGTCAGGAAAGCTCAACACCAGAGCTGATTTTGATTCTTTGAAGTTTTATTTTTTTCTGACTAATGCCACACATATAAGACTTGCCACCAATTGCCATGAATCTGAAATGGCAGAATATTGCTTTGTTCCTTTGCTCTGGTAGTTCTCAACAAAGAAAAATCTTCTCTCTCTCTCTCTCTCTCTCTCTCTCTCTCTCTCTCTCTCTCTCTCTTCCTAGAGATGCTTCACAATGCCTGGAGACATTTTTGCATATCACTAAAAATGAAGGTGCCTGGATATTCCTGAAACTAGTGGGCAGAGGTTATGAAGGTTACTAAATCTCCTATCTTAAATAATATCCCGGGAAGGGACTAGAAACAATTATCCTAGAAAAATGTGGATAGTGCCAAGGTGTGGTAAAATAATGTAACTAATTCTAATTTCAATTAATACTTTAACTATTAATGAACTGTGAACTATAATATGTACCTTTTATTCATCTTGGTTTTTCTTTTTTGGGTTTCTTCATCAATTTTAAACCTTCAAACTTAGCTGTAGGGAATAAATGGCTGTAAAAGAAAAATCATACTCCCTTTTGCTACAAAAATTCAGTTTTTTTGCCTCTCTAGTGAATTTCCTCCAACTTTGAAGGTTTTCTTTACTCTTTTCTTCAAAAAAATCTCATTTAGAAAAGTATTTTTTTCTAAATTACACTGAGTAGAATTGACAACCACCTAAATTATGTTGTAATTCAATATTTTTCATAGTGGTGGCCTGAGATTCCAATAAATCTTGTGATTACCAGGAAGAATTTGCTAATTTTAGAATATTTAATATATGGAAAACTTGTAATTCTAAACTACCATGTGCAGGGAAGTTTCTAATGGATTTAGATTTCATCTTTCTCTTAGAAATGTAAATGATCAAAGTAATTTTTAAAATTATCTAGTTCAGTATCTTAGCTCATTGACACTACAAAGTATTAAATTGAATTCTTGAAAAAGTGATATCCTGGTAGATTATTTATACTTTAAACTTGACAGATTAGCAGTGGTTTTTATTCGTGTTTCATAATTTATCTTCGTTAAAATTAGTATAATGATTGCACGCTGTCTATAGACAGCACCTGACAGTGGAAATAATCAAATGCCTTTCAGCATGAGGTCGACCTTCTCAGTAACACTGCAATACATCACAAGGTTTCAGGTTTCTCCATTATACGCAAATGCAGAGGACAAAATGACTTTGTAACCCCAATTGCCTGGGAACATTGCCAAAAAATGGATTTTGTGCTGCATTAATGTAATGGGAAGAGATTCACTCTTGAATTGCATTTATGTTCTTTTGGATTTAAAAAAAATCATAACCTTGACTATAGTCATTAAGTAGAAAACCCTGATAATATAGTTTAAGAAAAATTAAAAAGTTATGTGTGATATTTCATACAAGTTATTAAAAGAAACAGACATCATAATAATTTTAATAGTGATAGACATTGTAACATGTTTACTATTAGTCACTCACATGTACACCAAATTTATATTGTGTTCTTACTGTGTGCTCTGTACTCTTTTGGACACCAGCTAGAAAGCCAATAGGAGTAAAAGCAGACAACTTCCCACCCTCTCTGGATTTGGTAAAGGAATTTAATTGAACTATTAATCAAAACCTTCAGATAAGGGGCTGAGATTTAGCTCAGTGGTGTTGCTACCTGCCTGCCAAGCTCAAGGTCGAGTTTGATCCCTGGTACCACACACACACACACACACACACACACACACACACACACACATACACAAGAAAAACCTTCAGATAAAATAAGAACTATGATGAAAGCTGGATACTGCTTTATGTGGGTATGTGCATGAAGCACAAACAGAGTGATATTATAAGTTGAATTATAGTTTTTTAAAAGGAGGTCTGAAAGCTCTATCTTACCTAACCTTTTCAAAAAAGGGTCCTTGCAGGTGTAATAAAATTAAGATGGGGTAGTTATGTAGAATTTAATAGGACTAGCATCCTAATTAAAAGGAAAATTTAGATTCAGAGACACAACTGCATCATGTAAATACAGAAGGAGATTAAAGTGATACATCTATTTACTAAGGATTGGTCAATATCTTGGGAAACTAGAAAAAAAATGGATAGATTCTCTCTTAGAGCCTTCAAAAGATCCAGCTATGCTGCTATCTTAATTTTGGGCTGTTAGTGTTCAGAACTATGAGAGAACAAGCCATTAAGTTTATGGTAGTTTGTCATAGCAACCTAGGAAACAGAAGATACCTAACTTGGGACCTCATATACAGAAGTCAGTGCTATGAAGAATTGGAGAAGATCATTTTCTGCAGAAGGATCAGTTTCTGAAAAGACTTACGGCAGGAAAGAGCTGTTTTACTCTCATGAAAGTGAAATAAATGTTTATGACTGTGCAGTGAAGGTACTATAGTCAGGAGATAGTTACGGAGAATGTTCCTGAATAGGTACATAGGTGAACATCAAATCACATTATCCAGTTAAGGAGTTCAGATTTCATTGTCAGTAGACTAGAAATATAAATATATTAAAATATCAAGGTTGCATAACAACAAAATATAATCCAAAATGAATTTTGTATTTCTTTTTGGTTTGTTTATTCTTTATTAGCACATATTTGCAGAACACAATTATATATTTATTATGGGGATTTAGAATATGTACACAACATCTCTTAATTCTTTTCTCATTCCCTATCCTTCCCAAGAACACAATGGGTAATGGCTTGTGCAAAGAGTGGAAGAGAGGAGGACAAGTAGGTAAGCACTAAGCAGTCTTCAGGTGATCTGTACTAAAACTGCTCATGCTTTTATTGAGTTATTAGCACTGGAGATGGACAAAAGTAAACAATTTATGATATATTGACAGAAATTACTGGCGGAGAGTTTGTATGGAATGAAAATAATAAAGAACCAAGAAGAACTTCAGAGTTTTTGGCTTGAGATATTGGACAACTGTTGATACCATTTTCTGACATCCAGAACACAGAGAGAAATAGTGCCATTTAGCACAAATTTCATTGTGACGTAGCAGAAAAAAGGTGTCTGTTAGATACAATGTTACATCTACCATATGATGTGGGTTCTTAATTTTGGTGTGATGTTGTGCCTAAACTATACATTTTGGAATAATCAATATGAGGTTGGAATTTAAAACTGTAGACCAGGATACACATACAATGTTACTTTCATTAAATGAATATGTATGACACAGATTACTTCTAATTACAATAATATTCTAAGATTGATTGCAGTATAAGCTACACAAATTATATTGATTAAGAGTGAACTTGAAACTGAAGAAAACTCCATACTCAATACCAGAAGAGAAACAGAAAACCCAAATTAGTACCTAGGAAAGGATTCCTTCAGAGATGAAGTACTAGTATTTTTGGCAATGATTTATATGGAGACTCTCAGGAGAAAATGGAAGACAATTTGAAGCACATGAAAACACATGTCTAAATTTCTGAGAGCATATGAGAACATGTTATACTAATATGAATGAAAAAATTTCAGTGCGATTCAGTGTGATGAAGAAAATGAAACTAAAAGATGTAATCAAGCAGCAAGGTGGTTGTGCATAATGAAACACTTTATCTAACGGGCATATGATATCTGTCAATAATTTTGGCCAGGAGAATATCTGTATCACAAAATGTAGACAAATAAATACATGAAACTTGTTTTATCTCCACTATAAAACTTGAATTTGAGAGAAACATTTTTAAGAGCCACCTATGCCTCCTTCATTTTTCATCAGTGACATGATGTTACTAAAACATAATATTTCATGGTTCTTTGCTAAAAAATGTTTCTTGTTTGTTCTTAATACAGTAATGACAATCTCAAATGTGACCCATAATGCACCTGATCACATGACAAAGACACCTAGACTAATCTTTCTTTACTCCTGTATTTTGGCATAATTAAAATGCATATGCTTCCATCCTCAACAAGTTCCAGGTTAGTGGTGTTCTGGGAAATGTTCAATAGCTTCTGGGAAATAATAGATACTGGTTTGTAGCTTTAGGTGATTTTTGTGGGTGAAAATGCTGCCACACAAGCATTAACTACAAGCTAGCCATTTTAATATCTGATGTAAAAATTTGTCATTTTAATGGTCAATTTATACAATCTGGTACAAGTCAGTTTCAAGTCCAGTACTGGACTTGTTATAACTTACTACTTATTATCCTCATCTCCACTCAAATAAGCCCTGGTTTTGATTATTAAGAGGACATCATTTCTAAAATTGAAGGTGCCACTGGAAATGGATAATGTAAGTATAGTCAATGAATGTTAGCTTGTATTAGGCTTTATAAAGTAACCAAATTATACAGCCCCAGAGAATGAAGTATATGATAAAACATTAAATACATATAAGGAGAAAAATATGAATTTATTAGATGAATAATTTTACAGTTTGTATATGATGTTTTATTTCATAGTGCCTTATGTAGACTCAATAATCATAAATGCTATCTCTATATTTCCTTAGATAAAAGTAGGTAGATGAAATCTTATAAACATCTTCCAAAGTTTAGTTTGAAATAGTTTAAACCTATAGCTTTTGATTATAGAGGCTTTTCACAAATTGAGTAGGTCATATCATTACTTTATATAATCATTAATGAACTGCTTAATAAGTTTTGAAAAAATGGAAACATTTATATCAAAATATTTTAATAGTTTTTAACTAGGGTGCAATAATGCCTTTAATTACTAAGTAACAAAAATATATAAGAAATTTATATATTAAAAATTTTATTAAGAAAAATAATTCAATGTACAATAATTAGGCTGTATTACTAACAAGTAATATCAGTTACTATACTTAGATGAAAAAATTGGTTTCACATAACACAATTCTTTAGATGCAAAGTACCCATTTGGTCTTTTAGAAAAGTTACAGGTATGAAATTTCAGTGTTAAAAATATGAACTGTCAATAGTACTGGATAACCAGGTGCAATTCATACTATCTTTTTAAATTAAGATATCTGTCAAATTAAAATGTAAATTAGGAGTAATTTACAAATAAATGATAATGGTTTCAGAATTCGAAAGAAATTCATACTGTGATGCAAGAACACATTCTGGTAAAGATGTTTACTTGAGGATTTCTGTGCCAAATTAGAAAGAAAGACTGAAATTTCTCTAGTGCGTGTAACACCCATCCTTTTCTGTAGTTCATCCAGGATCTGAGTTATAAATG